GGGTTGCTTTCCCCAACGAAGCCCCAAACAGCCGCTGTTAGGCTGAGGGCGGAGCGGCCCCAGGGTGCGGGGGGACCCCGAGCATCACCGGCGGTGGGCTGTGGGGCGAGCAGGAGGGGAGGGCACACCAGGGCCACCGCCTTGGCTGCAAGGTGGCATCAGGTCCTCTTGTCCCACCGGTGTATGGGACCCGTGTGTGTCTTCTCACCCGCTCCTGCTGTGCTTTTTTTCCACCTAAGCTAGGGCCAGGAGAGAGAAGCTGCTGTCGCGGACCTTGCAGGTGTCAGCCATCAGCCCTAGGATCCAGCCTGGGGCACGCAGGGGGCTCCTTCAGGCGTAGGTGCCTGCAGCTCCCTCCTGGCAGAAGGCTCTTACGGCACTGCCTCATGCCTGAGCTCTCGCCCCGAGACCCGCTCTACCACTCCTCCAAGTCTGGATCTCTTTAATAAAGGACTGAGAGTTTTATTTCAAGCTGTCATCATTGCTAGGTGTTGGTGGCGCCTGTGCTGCTCTTACCTGGGGAAGGCAAGTGCTGGGATGGGTCTCTGCTCTGACACAGAGTCTCCAAGATGCAGGACCTGGCTGAACAGCCATGGTTTCTGTTGTTGATGGTGGAGAGAGGTACCGGCAGGAGCAGGTGGGGCTGTCAGGGCTGCTGTGTTCTTGGCTGCTGGCTTGAGTGACTTTGGCTGAACTATTGAACCTTTCTTGCCCTCCAGTCCTCGCCCTAAAAAGGGGTGTAATGCTTGTGTGGTGGCCAGCTGACTTCAGTGGAAGGTCCTGAAGCACTGTGGGGGTAGCCAAAGCCAACCCCCTCAGCCCACAGAGCGTGACGAGTCCTGACATTGCCTGGCAGCCGCTTGTCCAGAGCTGACTTGCCTTTATCGGCTCTCATGCTGCTTGCGCTCTTTTCCTGGCCTGTCCTTTCACCAGCAGAAATGCGGAAAAACCAGTTCTGTGGTTAATTGCTGCACTTCCCTCCACGCCCATGGGGCAGGTCTCCTCCTCCTTACTTAAAGCCTGGGTGCACTTCAGCCTCCAGCCTCTTCGTCCCTGCTTGTGCTCAGCCAGCTCAGGTGTGCCGTCAGGCCTCCACGCTCCTTCCATTAACCTTACACCTTCTTCTGCCTTCCCCTTTTTCCTCTGTCTGCAAGAGCTTCTGTGTCTCTGGTGGCTCCTTCTCCCTAGGGCAATCCAGAGGGTTGGCCCACAGGTGCAGAAGGTGCAGGCAGCTGCCCTCCTGGCTCTGCTCTTCCCTTCCCAGAGGGGCAGCATTTAGACGTGATGGCTGGAGGCAATGAGAGGAGCATGAAGGCTCTGAAGGAGGTATGGAGAAGAGCGGAGAACTCTGTGTGCGCAGACTGTGGGAAGCCAGGTGAGTCCCTGAGGGCTGCTGGAGGAAGAGTCAGAAGCAGGGAGCTGGGGCTGGTCTCTAGCAGCAGTTTGGTGCCAGCTGTCTGACTGCACAGGGGCCTGGGGCAGAGAGGGAAGAGAAGCATTACTCTCTCTGGACATTCATTTCCTCTCCCTGGAGGTGGGTTGGCAAGGCAGGAGGAAGGAGATGCTGCCACAGCGCTGGTGGGAAGAAGGACAGGGACACAGATGAGCAGGGGCGGTGTAGGTGCAGCACTGTGGGTTGTAGTTGTGTCAGATCTCAAATACAAATCAAGGTCATGCCCAGTCAGGACCTAACAGGAAAGCTCCTGGTGAAATTGTAACTGCTTCATAAAGAAGGCATGAATCAGGAGGGCACTGTCTCCTTCGTGACTCAGCTATGAACTGACAACCTGCCACAGGCACCTCAGATTTCTTTTACTGAAGGGCTTGCCCTGTCGAAAGGGTATCCAGTTTGAAGTCCTACAGGCGCTCCTAAAAACACCCATCATACTACTCCCAAAAGGGGGATGTGGAGTGTACCACCCAAGCCAAAATAAGACTGGGCTAATTACTACCATTTTACCTTCTTAAATTCCCCTTGGAGAATTTTGGATTCAAGGCCTTTTTCCACTTCCCGAGCCAAATACTGTTGGGCGTTTGCTGTGTTGCACTGAACAGCTCCTGGAGTCTTTTCCCAGAGGTGGTTTCAGTTTCATCTTGGGTGACCCTTTACGCAAAGGGAGGTCGCAGAGCACTTTGTAGTTTTTCAAGGTTCAGGTCAACAGAGATTCAGATGAAGTGGCTGAAGCAGGGGGAATGAGGGACTAATATCTATGCTTTTTCCTGCCTGTACCTTGGGTGTTAATTAATCAGCTTAGGTGAAACCGTGGTCACCCGGTTCTCTTTCTCTGGACCATGTTCCCAGTTGAGGCGTGTCTTCCAGGGGAATATACCACCTCTACTCATACCCTTTTTTACACCCTTAGATCCCGACTGGGCATCGTCTACTTTGGGTGTCTTTATATGCCTCAGCTGCTCAGGAATTCACCGCAACATACCTAGTATCAGCAAAGTCAAATCCCTGAAGATGGACCACTGGGACGATGCTCAGGTGCAGGTGAGAGCTTTATCCCCACTAGTAGGTCAGGTGGGTTGGATCTAGGCCATACAGTAACATGTCCTGGGAAAATCAGCCCTTTGGTCTCACAGAGTTGGAGATTTAATCTGATATGTAGTCCATTTGCTACTCATGCTCTGGATACTTAAGCAAGGATAACTCCACATAACCCACTGGGAGAGGGTTAACGCACTTACCTTATGTGTCTCCACATGTCCTCTTACTTTATGGCAACTACAGGGCTCTTGCAATGTATCTTGCCAAGGCTCAGGGCCTTTGTCGCTCCAGATTACTTATTTACCACTCACCAGCACTGTTCAGCCTCAGTGTATCCTTTTGGTTGCAGCAGTTCAAGGGGGAAATCTTGGGGAATTCTATGGTCCGAGAAGAATTTCCAGATATAATGTGATCTCTTGAGAAAAGTGGCATTTATAGGAACTTGACTTCTCTCTGTTACACCCCCTTCAACCCATTAATCTTCAGGGGACTGAAAAAAATTTCTGGGCATCCAAAGAAAATAATCTGTATCTCACTGCTTTTTGGAGAGGAGCGAAGAGATTTGGAGTGTCCTCCCAAATGGCATTGCAGAGCTGTCATTGAACTTGGTCTCCCTGGAGATGCGGGGCATAGCAGCAAATCCACTGAATGTATGTGCACCCAGCCCCACAGAAGTGACATTTACGGTATTCTGTTGATTCAGTTGCAATCAATGTAACTTCTGAGAGTAGACAAGACCTTTGAGATAACCTTTCTGTTGCCAGACTTTGCTGGGATTTTGCAATGCCCAGGAAAGACAATTCTCCGTTAGAGCTCAGTCTGCATCTAGGCCTGTAGTGGGTCAGGAAAGAAAAAGCCCAACATGAGTCTGCATCAAAGGGACGGCACTAACTCTCTGTCTAACTCTGCAGTTTCTGGCCAAGCATGGGAATGCTGTGACTAAAGCCACATACGAAGCGCACATCCCTATTTACTATTACCAGCCAACCTACAATGACTGCCAGTAAGTTGCTGCATACAGAAGAAAAGGGGTAAGGGCAGTTCTGGGTTCCTCTAGTTGCTTTCTGAGCTACCTGTCACCTCTCCCCAGAGTGCTGAGAGAACAGTGGATACGGGCCAAATATGAACGCAAAGAGTTCACCAAGCCAGGAAAACAGCTGCCATATTCTGATGGTAAGAACAGAGCACAGCATCAAAATATCTTGCCTGTGGCCTTTGCTGGAAGCTTTTGAGCACTATGAGGAGAAAGCTTATAGTGTCAGTGTTGGAAATCCCACATGTACTCCTGAGAACCCAGCTGGTACTTACAGGGCATTGATTTGGGGGAGTTTAAATTGTGGGCAGCGTAGGTTAGCACTGTCATGGATTGCTTCCAAGCTTGGTATTACCAGCTGACGTTTTTGGAAAGCACTTTCTGTCCTGGTGGAGCCAGACCTCTGCAGTAAGGAATTTCTATCCTGCTGCATGCCACCCCCTCCAACCACAGCAGTTGTCTTTGAAATGTCATTTCCAGTGCTGTGACACAAGGTGCTGGAGCCCAAGGGCTGGCAGAGTCAAGTGGGAAGAGTTCTGGTGCCATGCCTGGGTCTGCGTGGGTCAGGACTCTGATGTTGACCAGAGAGACAGCTCTCACACTGTCAGAGGCAGTAGTGAGAGCCAGACTAGGAGGTGGGAAGCATCTGGGAATGTCTTTTAGTGACTGTTTGTCTGGGCTGCAAACCCAGGAACACCATTATCTTCAGTTGTAAGTCAGAGGTGAGACCTCTCCTTCTCAGGTGTTTGTTCTCAGCGATAGTCCATCACGTGCTTTATCCCAGAGGTATGGCTGGGACCCCAGGCTGCATGCAGGATGCCTACCTGGGGGAATGCTCTTAAAAGTGGCCTTTCTGCTCGTAGGGGTGAAGGAAGGCATTCTCTGGAAGCGAGGACGAGACAATGGACAGTTCCTACTCCGCAAGTTCCTCTTGTCTGAGAGAGAGGGATGTCTGAAGTATTTCACCAAGCAGGATGTGAGTATGGTGGTCAACTCCCACCTCAGTGCATACTCCACCCAGGGCAGCAGGGTCATAGAGAAGTTTCTATTTCCTACGTATGTTTCTGAGGTTGCCTTGCTCATCCCAGGCTGGGGATGATAACAGAAACATGTCACTGAGGAGAGGGGTTCCTTTCCTACTCTCAGGGTGACATTTTCCACACGTCCTCCCTTTGTGCTTCTCTACACCCTTCCCTCACTGCTGATAAAAGGGCTGATCTTTCACTTCACTCCTATCTGTTTGTGCAGCTGTCTAATCCTGCACCATCTCTAGAAACAGCCTCGCCCCATGATGAGCCAAGTCAGCCAAAACCTGTTGTTTGGTTTGTTTTGAGGAGGGCTACTCTTCTGCTAGTTCACCTCCCCGAAATGAATGGGGCAAGTGCTAGTATACGGTTGCAAGGGAGGGAACGGCTTGCGGTAGGGAGGAGCAGGAGTGGGGTCTCTCCGTTTGGGGTCAGTTAGCCTTTAGACTGGCTCAGCTGTGAAGTCAGATGCACTTTTAGTATATCACTGGCAGTTCCATAGTAGCCACAGCTCAAATCTAAATTGGAGGGGCTGGGCCACTGTTTGGGCTTGAGTATGCCTCACAGTGAAGAGAGTGTATGCTACAGCAGTTTTGCTGGGAAGGAGCAGTTATTACCCTCTCTAACACCCTCTGATCCTGTCTTACCCCTCTAATTCAGCTCAGGTCTCTTTCCCACTAGGATTGCTCATGCATGACCAATGCCATTCTGTTCTCAGGCCAAAGAACCCAAAATCAATGTTAAAATAGATGTCATCAATGCTACATTCCAGCCAGTGAAGATTGGGAACCCCAATGGCCTGCAGATCACTTATCTCAAAGACAACAAGACCCGGAATATATTTGTCTACCATGACAGTGGAAAGGTATCTTGTTTTAGCACCAAGCACTGCAAAGCAATTGTGATTTGAGAAACAGCTGCTATTAAATAGTCTGAAGCATGGCTAGGACGGGGTGTGCGTGTGTGAGTTGCTGTAGGTAACAGGGTGGGGGTTCTGGCTCTCTGCACGTGTGTCTCTGAGTTTTGCTGCAGGGAGCAGGGCAGGAGCACGGGCTGAGTTGGTTTGTGTGGGAGGAGCTGCCATAGAAGATGTGCAGATGTGCTGCCTGAGCATGCGGGGAGTGGGGCAGCCGTGCTGGCTGTGTGTCTGTGAAGGAGATGCTGTAGGTGCTGGGGAGGGAGAGCTGCCTGTGTTTGTAGTTAACATAGGGTTGGGTACAGTTGGGTGAATTCAGATGGCTCACTGTTGCTCTGGCTAAGCTTTCTGTCCTGTCCTTTTCCATTGTCAGGAGATAGTGGACTGGTTCAATGCCATTCGCTCTGTGCAGTTCCATTACCTGAAGGTA